TGAACCTAGCCCTCTTTCCTGCCTAGACAGGAGGTCAGACTCGATGATCTGTTGAGGTCCCTTCCAACCCTAGCATCTATGAATCCATGAATTTTCCAGGTATAGAATCTATTTATTGGAGGTTTGCCTTGAATTTGTCCCCCTTCCACTGCTACAGCAGGGAAAAGAAATCTGGGGGGTCATATAGCTCCTGTGCTCTCTGCTTCCCCCAACTTTTTCCCCTGGCAGCCCTTCCTACTCTCCTTACTGTCAGACCCTGCTCTCCCTGAGCACATGGAAGTGAGAAATACATCTTAAAACCAAAGGCTCACAATTTACCACGTAGTTCTCTGGGCTGGGCCCACTAGAGTCAACAGCATTTCAAGCCAGGGATGACCACAACACAACACTGCTCAAAATGTGTGTACTTCAGATATCCCCCCCAGAGGATCTCTGCTAATTAGCCCTCACTCATGATTGGAACTGGGGTTTTTGTCACAAGTCCTGGGATGCTCCAAAAATTGATATGCAGATGAGGTGCAGAGCAAACTGGTCTGGCTCCACCTCATGAAAGGTGGGGCCACACTAATCATCTGCAACAGAGGGCACTTCACTTATTTATTACAGTGCTTACCTCCTTGCAGAGAGACTGGCCAGGGCAGTGGCCAGGCAGGGACAAGTTTGTAGTAAACTTTACCATGTGCCTGCTCAAAGCACATTCTAACTTTAATACTGCACAGAACTAACAACAGACATACTCAGTGCCTTGTGAGACAAGGCCCTTAGAAATAGTGGGATCAGTCTGACTATGAAAGACAGGGTATGAACTGCAGGAGGCAACACAGGTACTTTTCTGAACAAGTGACACTGATTGCAGCTTATGTGGAAGATGGGTTTAGGAAGCATATCTGATTTAGCTGTTGTACTCAATTTTAATCCTGTTTCATTTACAATACTTTAGAAATAATGGTAGCAAGCTCTAAACTTTATAATTCACACCTCTGTTTCCCCATGGTAACAAGATCCCAGCACTTACCATGTTCCAAGTTGACTTCCTTTGTGCCACTGAGGACAATTGTGCCTTTTGCCAACACCTGTGCATAAAAGGACACCATGAGACAGAATCAGCGAAAACCCAGTCAAGATGGATGGTTCTCTTATGTATAATCTGTAGCACAGGTTTTTAATGGCTAGGGTGAATATTATGCCCATGAAAATGAGGGACAACTAACTTCAGAAGAAATAGTTAGGGTTGTGGACAAGACTTAAGCTACTTCTTCTTGTTCCTCATACACAGCTCTGCTAGTGTCCCTTAGTCCTGCCTTACAGCCCCCCTGCTATTCCAGTCCTGGGTTCCCCACACTGCTCTACCAGTGCCCATCACTCCTGCCTTATTCCAGTTCTGGCATCTCCTTTTGAGCTGTGTAACTGTGGATTTAGACAAGCTGCTGGTACTTCTGTGCTCTCCTCTCCTTGAAGAGCCCTGTTTGATTTCAGGGAATTTGTATTTACTTAGCTAAAAGTGTTACTGGGTTGCTCTCTGATGGGGTCTTTTGGTAAGATTATGGCTTGGCTCTGATCTTTACCCAAAAACCTATTTAGATTACACACTTCTGATTACTCAGTGGTGGTCAGAAGCAAAGAGGTTTTCTGGCAAACATAGTAGGGCCCTGATACGTACCAAGTAGTAGAAGTTCACACTAGTGGCATCCCCATACCCATCTTTGTTCAGGATATAGTGCACCATGATTGCCTTCTGCTGGCCACAGCTCAGCTGCTCTCTCTCTGGCTCAATCTTAACAAAGGTGTTAGTGCGGGAGTAGAAACGCTGGATGTGGAATACAGCCTGAGGTTCCTCAAAGTTCGTCCAGCCAAAGTCTGAACAGTCAACATATTTTGCCTGAAAAGAAACATGGGGAAGAGGGTAAGGGGGAGGAAAGACAACAATTAGATGACGTAATGAAGAGAATGTGAAAATATCAGACATGTTAATTACACCTGTTTCTAAAACGTTGTGTGTCAAGAAGTGTAGCTGCATTTTAGGGTATGAGCACGTCTGGGCTGTTCTTGCACAGCGCACTCACCTGGGTTGCTTTCTGCTCCAGTGCTTAACAACATTGCTTAACAGCAACCTCCAATAGAGGTTAGAGAGGTGGGTTCAGAGCCTTGCAGGTCTAGCTAAAGTGGCACTGGCTGTTAGGAGATGCTGCAGAGCTAGAGCTACATGGATTCCAGCCAGACTGGATCAGCTGACTCTGCTTTCCCCATTTTGCTAAGCCAGCCTAAGGGAAGGGGGGAACACAAGACTGAGGATGTGTCTCTGATGAAGGCAGAGACTGCAATACAGATGGAAGGGAGCAAAGCAGATGGATGTCATGGGAGGTTTGGGCATCCAGTGTGGGTGAGAGAGGACAAAGGGGCCATCAGGGAGGTTCTGCTCTGGGAAGATTGTGGGAATCAGGTATGTCAGCAGGGAAGACATCTGTTCTGAAAAGAGGCAGGAAGGAAGTGCCTCAGCCCTGCCAGCCCCTGCCCCTCTTTCCCCCATCATCTTGATGGCACAGCCTGTCCCTCTCCAAGCACTTGTGCACCCCAATAGTTCTTTCCTGGTCAGACCTGCCTTGGGGTTTCAGGAGTCATCCCTGCTGCCTGCATGGGTACACTTAGCAGTTTTTACAGTTTCTCCGGTGCTATCTGAACCAGGGCTAAGCTCTGGGAAAACCCCAAAAGCAGCGGAAGCTGCAAACATGCTGAAGAGGCTAACACTTAACTGAAGAGTGAACGGGAAGAAGACAAAGCAGGCAGGGAGGGGACATTGCTTACTAACATTCAGATTGCTGCACCAAGTCAGAGTGAGAGTCACTGGAGTGACCACAAGCTGCCTCCCCTACCCTGAAAGCCACGTAGCATGATGCTGCCCATGAGAACACCAATGTGCTTCACACCCCTCCCACAGAGCCATTTCTCTCTCAGGTGCAGAACATAGGGCCTATGTCCCAACAGGGTAATCCCAGTGGCCCACCCTAATTCTTTGTTAAGCATTTTTATTAAATGGAAAAAATATATATATTTGGAAAGCAAAACTTGAGTCCTGCAAACTCCCTGCATGGCGAGTCATTAATCTGCTCCTCTGCCTGCATCTGCTGTCCTGTTTCCTGCTTGCAAACATTTTGCAAGTGGCCCTTGATACCATTTTAGTTGTATAGCCCAGTTCCAAGGAATTGTCCCCGTTGCTGTTGTGCCTTTCTGTTACTTACCCTCAGCTCCAATCTGGGATCAAAGAAGTTGGAGGTGTTGAGGTAAAACAGAGCAGAGCCCTTCTTGTCTGTGGTGTAGTTAGCCAGGTACATTCCATTGAGCTCTAGGCGGATGATCCCATTTGCAATGGGGTTCTCTTCCTCATCTTTCAGGTTGATCTGAACAGAATAGAAGTGCCAGGAAACTTAGATGGCAAGTGGAGCCTGCTTGCTTTCCCTTCATGAGTTTAGTTGGCTTCAAAGGCTGAGGAACTCTAAAGACATCTTGTGGGGTACGTGAGAGTGAATAGCAGCAAGCAGGACTGCCATAGAATGAAGTGTGTTTAATTCACATGTGTACCCTTCAGACTACGTTGTAGGGTGAGGAGGAGGAATTCCTTTGGAGGTTCACCCACAGGACAAAGAAACACAGGGAAAACACTCCTGACAGGTAAGGGGGGCGGAAGACTACATAAAGGATCAAGCATTAAAGATTATTCTTAGTTTTCATCATGGAAATCCCTTCCTGACTCTTCAATGGCAGTTGATTCCAGGATATAAAGGGTGGATTATAGGCTGCCAATTGGGAGACCATGATTCACATCCTGACCTCAGACTCTCGTTCTCTGAGCCAGTGGGGTGGAATGGCCTTGAAAGGCACCACTTTTTACTGAATGCTGGCTCATAAAACTTGAAACAATCAGAGGCCCTCTTTTGATCCTTTTTCTTAATGATGACCCTTCCCCCTCATCCCATATCATCCATTGCTTCTTTGACCCATAGACATCATGTAATTATGACTGAAGACTAGCCCACTGACCTCTCAACCAGTTTTTCTCATGTTTTCTGAAAGCAGCTAAGACTGTGGGGAGACTTTTGGTGTAAAGGCTATTGCCATGAACTGTTATTGAGGGAATCTGCTACTTGGAGTAGAGATGGCCATAAGCAGAGCAAGACTGAGACCCTTTTCCATGACCAGAGAAGGTTGTGTCTCTGCCAGCCTACCTGTCCAAAGTAAGGGATTCCCCTTTTGTAGTAGTGATCCATGTTCTCAAACCATATTCTTTTGCTCCCTTCGTAGATGAAAATTGAGTCAGAGCTGCTAATCTGCACACCTGTGAGAGGCCCAGTGGCAAAGAAAAAACAAAAGAATCAGAGATGGGGAAATGTGAGGCTTTTAAAAAGCCCTACTGAGTGACCTCGCTATGGGTCCAGAAATCTGGAGGAAGTAACTGTATGTTTGAAATGAATCTTAATGCTGAGCTCTGCCTTATGGCAGGCAGTCACAGACTCCTCTCACAGAGTACTTGTCCACAGGGCAACCCCTCTGACTTGGCCCTCCCCAACCATCCCCCTTTGGTGTTACCTGTTCCATTCTCTGTGACCACTGCATCCACGTTAAGGCTAACAAACATCCTTGGACGATACCGAAATAACTGGAATGCTGAAGTGGGAATGGCTTTGGTGAGGCAGCCATCCTTCCCCAACTGAAAAAGAAGGGACAAGCCAGCGATTATGAAGGGGAGAAAAAATCCCAGTTCTTTCAAGGTCAGACACCTACTTCTTGTCTTCGTATGAGAGGCTCTGCATCTCTTAGCAAATCTTAGCTTCATGCTTCCAGCTGTCCTGCCTACCTACCTACTCTTTGTTGTTGTCATATTGTTCTCCTCTTGCGCTATACTTTACCATACCTTCCACCACTGCCATTTCAGTGTCACCCTTCCCAACTCAGTCCTGGCACTTTCTGAGAACTCTAGCACTGGCCAACCAGAACATTTAATGACAAACTCAGCTTCAAAGCATGAGTACCCTGCCTTGACTTTAGTAGTAGTAGTCAGCTCATAGCAGATAAAAATCTTGCCTACAGAACTTTCAGAATCTGACTGAGAACACTTTTCCTTCCATTTATTCTCCCCACTATTTTAATTTCATAAGTGCATACATTCTCCCTTTCTCCACTAAAGCTTCCAGGTCAAGATAAAATCTAAATTTCTAATATTAATTTTTTTTGAAGAATAATACGATTAAGAATTAAACTAAGACTAAAAATAAATACTCAACCCTTGCAGGACTTCTTTTTACATCAGTAAGTTGCAAAGAAAGGCATAAGAACTGGTTTTTATGTTCTTTGTAAACTGCCCTTGATATGTGAGCAAGAACACTAAGCATATGCTTGCTGAGAAAAGGTGACTATTCCTTGCCCTACTCATTCAGATTGGGATTATATCTTTGTAGCCAACAGGGTAACATGCTTGGCACTGAATCTGGTGACATGCTTACACCCCTCCTTTCTCCATTTCAACTTCTCAGCTCCTTGGCAGTAGATTTATTCCCACTGCTTTTGCAGAGGAGTGGTGCTGCACTTCTCATGAAACACTTGAACTAGGCTCATGCCTTTTTTTGCCTGGCAGAAATTAGCCATCCCATGAGAACAGTAGGGAGAAAACTGATGTCCTGCCAGATGTGCCCCACTCAGTGAAAAAGGCTCTAATACTGGAGGCTGGGAGTGATGAATAGTTTTTAGGTTTGCATATGCAGTCACTGCTCTCCCAGTATGTAACCTACTTCCCTGGGCAGGGCCCATACATGATAGATTAAATTCATTCTTTATCCTGCCACTCCATCTAAACAGAGTTGATCCTTAAATTGTAATGTGGAGGCCTGGATCCCAGTTTCCCCACGGCTTCTGTGTCTTTGGGTCTGGAACACATGAGAATTCTGAAGCGTTGAGGCTATTAAGATGAAGCTCCCCAACAAATTATTTAGTTCCTAGCAATAATGAAAACTCCTCCCCTCCAAAAACCTCTAGCTCTGCCCATGACATGTTGGGCAGAAACAAGATCTGTTCTAGGTGGACCTCCCAGCACTCCCCAAGAAATGAAAAGGCAACCAATAAAGCCATGTGATGCATTAAATGCAAAACTTGCTGGAAAGGAAGAGAGGAAGAGGTACAGGCCAACATCATACTTGTTCATTGACTCTTTCACATATTTTCTTGGGTTGTTGGTCACATTCTCTACGATAGTAATGCATTTTACAGACACTGAGCTGGACGTTCCCTTGCACAGGCTGTCCATAAGTGTACCTAGTAGAGGAGAAAACAATGAGGAAACAGATTGTGTGGTCACTATTTTTGGATTCAATACAAGAAACAAATATATACCCAAAAAACTAAAAGTCTGTTTATACAACGGACTGTAGCTGAGAACATGGGTAAATGAGTTTATGCTGAGCACTGGCTGCTTCCAAGACATAAACTAGCTCATTTAAAACTAGCTCAGATGTCCCTACACAGCAGTTCAGCCTGCAGTACGGACATGCTCTAAGACCCAAATTGGAGTCTTACTGAACCCAAGGTTTAAAGACCTTTTCCTGGGCCTTCTTTTTTTCCACAAGGGAGTCCATCATTGCCATGCACAGAACAAGTTATGTCCCATTAAGAAACATTGTTCAGGACTGCAGGGCACTTCCCCTTTGACAGAGGCATATATGGGTACCTCAATGTAAGGCACTCTTATCTACTAATCTAGGAACTTCTCCTGCTTTTTTTTTCTGTTCCTTTTATCCATGTCTTTATCTTGATTAAAAAATCCAATAGTGAGTAGAAATATATCAATGTATTATCTTCAACCAATGAAATAAACATTAATATACATTGGGATGCAGTGGGATGCAGTGTGCAAGTGGGTATTACCAGCATCATGTAGCCTGAAGTGAAAGTGAGTCATAGTGGTACAGTGCCTTGCCCAAGACCACACACTGAGCTATTGGCAGAGCCAGGATTAAGATTCAAGAGCTTCTGTTCCCCAGCTCCATGCTCCTTGAACCTGGCTTTGCAGCCTTCATGAATATATGCTGCCCCATCATGTGGATACTTACGAAGCGCAAACATTCACTTTGAATTCTTGATCTAAAAGAGAGACCCTTCTTGGGTTTTGGATCAACACTTCGAACTTTGGTAGCACTGGGAATTAAAAGGGAATAATGTCACACAGATACCATAGATGTGAAGTGAAAAGTGGCAGTGAGTCCCTAACTGTACCAACAGTTATGACAGGTGTAAGTGCTAAGAAGAAAGAGGAATGGTGTAGAGGGCATGGGATAGTAAAAACAGGATAAAGCCCCAAAGTTATATTGCATGAAACCACCCTACCCGGATAGAAATAGAAGGTAATTGACTGAGAGAGACTTAATAGGATAGTCCCTGTTACCACCTTCTTTCATTCTTGCCATGAGTTAGAAACATACTGTATTTACTAGCATACCAGATGCATCTTTCCCCCAAAAATCAGCCCTTCAAAGTCAGGCTGCAAGTCTTAATCTGGGAAACTTGATCTTATGCCTGGAATAGAAGCACCCAACAATCATAGATACACAGAATAGTAGGCTGGAAGGGACCTTTGGAGGTCATCAAGACCACCCCCTGCCTGAGGAAGGATTATCCCTATTCAAACCATCCCATACAAATCCATATCTAACCTATTACAAAAACTACGCAGTCAACCCTGTCACACAACCACAAGGCATAACACCCTAAACTCCTACAGGTAAGTCACAGGGACAGCAGTAGACAATGTCTCACTGCTGCAAGGGTTGTTAAAATATACACAAAAAATCCAAGGAAGAGGGTCATGATCCTCATGACAGAATATGAAATCTACCACAGTCTGTGTCAATCTGATCATGGGGTAAAATTCCTTCCCAGTTGTGGTACTTGGCCCAACATTGAGGGGAAAAGCAAGACCTTCTGCCAGGAACCTCTGGGTTTTAGTCCCAGCAGGAGCACTGGCATGCCTCAACTTTGGCTGCAGTCAAAATCCCCAACCTTGGCTGCAGCCAAAACCAATGCTTCTGAGGAAGGCAGAAAAAAACAAAATAAAGACCCTGACACATGTAGCAACAGGATGGGAGAAAATCTTTCTTGGCTCCATGTGATAACAGAAAAGCCAAGAAGCCCAGCAAAAACCCATAGCCCAGCATAAGCATAGCTATTTCTAGAACATCCCTAACAAATTCTTACCCAACTTCTAGTCAGCCTATTCCATTGTTTCACTGCTCTAACAGTGAAAAAGTATTTCCTGATATCCAGGTTGAACAGCACCGGGCCCAGGATAGACTCCTGTGGGACTCCACTCAAAATATCCTGCCGTTCTGATATGGATCATTTTATAATTAACTTTTTCTTGTAGCTATTAAGCCAGTTGTCTATCCACCTTATAGCAGTTTTGTCTAGCCCACATTTCTCTAATATGTTTATGAGAAGGTCATATGGAAATTTACTAAATACCTTGCTAAAGTCCAGATACACTGCATTCATAGCACTCCCTTCATCAACACAAGTAGTTACCTTGTCAAAGAACAAGATCAAATTTGTTTGGCATGATTTATTCACAGTTAATCCATGCTGGCTGCTTGTGATCAGCCTTTCCTCCACTAGTTGCTTACAAATAGAGTTCCTCATGATATTCTGTAGTAACTTCTTTGGTATTGAGGAGAAGCTACCCAGTCTATACTTCCCCATGTCTGTTTTAAAGAGGGACATCATGGGCACATCTACATGAGATGCTATGTTACTGCAGCAACATGCTACGGCAGTGTAGCATCCACAGGTGTCTACACGTGATTAGCAGCTATTTCACTGTAGCGACGTGCTCCCCCATTACAGCACGCCGCTACAGCTAAGTAGCTGCTAAAAATAACCATGAGCCACGTGTATGGTACAGTACAGGTGGTTACTGCACCATGCTTTAGAATTTCCAAAAGGAAGTACTAAAGCATGGTACAGTAACAACATCACTATAGAGCAACGTGTAGATATGCCCTATGTTGACCTTTTTCTAATCCTCTGGTACCTCCCCCATCTCCCACAACTTCATAAATACAATTGTCAAAGGCTCTGAAATCTCTGCCAGTTCCTCCAATATCCTGGGATGCAGTTCATTAGGCCCAGCTGACTTGAATTAATTCAGACTCATCAAAAGCTGTTTCTTTTATTATCTCTTCTCCAGTTTAACACCTTCCTTATCCACATAATCCTTTGATTCCTACTCCACCAGGCAGCAGCAGTGCCATGTCTATTCAGGCAGCTGAGGGAATCAGTTGACTTAATGGCTCACTGCTCTTAAGCATTAATGATCACCTCTCCTTTTTAACAGTCTTGATGTTCCACTAATCAAGCTAACCTTCCTTCTGGCCATTTTACTGTCTGCTAGCTACTTCAGGTCTCTCTCCATCTATTTCTCAGCTTTGTACACTGCATTTGGCTCTTTTAAAAATTGTAGATCCACCCATGGAGGACAGCCTTCAACAGCAGAAAGGGCTACAGCTTTTGGTTGAACATGAAATGGAGGGTAAGGGTAAAAACAGATATTGGATTTCTACCAGATGAAAGGCTTTTATTCTGGGATTCTACAAGCCAGTTGTGCCACTTTAAGTACTTGTGAAGTATTTGAGATAATATTTTTTCCAGGGCCAATCCCACCTAATTCGAGATGATTTCCACTCGTTCCAGAGACAAGCTATGTGTGAAAAGGTCTATACTGATTTTGACTCAGATCAGTCAGAATTGCCTCAAATGCAACATCTGTTTTTACCCTAAGTGAACTGAAGATTAGGCTCTTTCTTGCTCTATGCAGTCACATCTCAGGAATTTTTTGTTTTTCATTCTGTCTTCCCAAAAAGCAAGGTGCTTGTCTTATTTGGGGGCATGTGCCATATGATAAAATACAGTAGTTTTCTAACAGAACGGGTGAGAAAGGACCCCTTGCCTCAGAAAACGTGGAGTTCCCCAGGTCCTGCCTAGGGAACGTCCTGTGTGGGAAAGTCCCAGCTATGAGATGAGATGGAAACAAACCAATAGCAGAGCATGTAAAAGCAAGACCATCAGGTAGTGAGCACTTTTGTTTCTCTATCCCTATTTGTCCATCCAGTATTAATCTGGTTCTGCCTAGTAACTGCCTGACATCCAATTATTTATACTGCTATTAATATCTTTGGATTTATGCTTCATATTTTATCTCTGTGCATTGCATACAGCCTCACATAGGTGCTGGGGCGGGTACTTTGATTTTATTCCCCAATGTACAGATAGAGAATCCACGGCACAGAGAATGTGACTTCCCTAGCATATAGCAGGTGTTAGTGACAAAGTCCAGGAGAAAGCCCAGGGTGCTGATTGCCTCTTGATTGCACTAGGCCACGTTTCTCAGAATCTACCTGGCCGTCTCTTGGCCATCTCCTCCTTGCCTTCTGTTTCTGCCCTGTCACCTTTCTGCATTCCTTGCTTTATCTGCCTCAGTCCCTCAGTTTGGGTTCATGGGCATGTGACAATTATAGTCCACACCATTTCTTGCGTACTTTTGGCAACCCCCCTCACAGACTCTGGCCGTGGCATTTGGATTCGGCCGATTTAGGGGACAGTAATTCGATTCGATGATTTGGTCCTCTCCCAGCCTGGCAATGGTTGCCTCGCCTGCCCCACCTCCCGGCACCTGATGATCACTGGGACTTTTTCTTAAAGTACTGAGCTGGGGGCAGGAAGGGGCAGCCATGGCGGGGCTGGCGAAGCAGGCAGGGGATGGGGCCTGGCAAGGGTCCCCCCATGGTCCCCTCCCCCACTTCAGCCCCCCTTCCCCACCTCCTACTTACCAGCTCCTAGTCCAGCTCCAGCTCCCTGCTGCAGCCACTGGGGACTGTCCGAATCATCAAAGCTCTCTGAATCTTTTTCGAAGATTCGGAGAGCTATGAATCAATTTGGACCTTTTAACTGGTCCCCTGATTCAATTTGGATTCAGAGATTTGGTCACCAAATCGGGCCGAATCTCCTCTGAATCGAATTACCACCCGAAGCTTCGCACAGCCCTATTGCAGACACAGGAGAACTCATCACTAATGCTGAAGAGACCTACTTCTTACCATATTCATCGACATTGAATGAGTGATACACATCTTGGCCCGACTTCCTTGTGACGACAATGCTGTAGGACCCCAGGATTGGCTCCTGAGTTAAGGGGAATGAGAGCTGGACAATGCTTTTTGTAGATGTAGTTTCCAGCCACTGAAAGATATGATTTCCCCTGGGATCCTGGAAGAGTGGGAGAGGCAAACATAAATACACTGATCACCTTCCTTTTCTTCCACTCACTCTTCTCCTTTCATTTCTTTCAATTTATTCTGTTGGGGTGTTGACTTTGTATGTAGCATGTGAAAAAGGACTTAGTCTTATGAGCTATTGAGTGTTCTGAACCACTGATTATCGAACCATGTGTGTGTTAAATTGGTCTCAGTTTATGCTGGACTGCATACATGAGCTGTGAGTTTCCTAGAGACAGCTTTAGACTGACACTCCATGAGACTTATGATCTATTCCTGGCTCTGCTGCTGCCCTGCTGGGTGACTGTGGGCAAATCCTGTCTATTTTCTTCCTCGGTTTCGCTATCTTTCAAATGGGGATAATGAGTGATTCTGACCTTTATACAGCGCTTAGAGATCTGTGAATGAAAAGCACTATAGAAAAGCTAGGTGTTGTTACCAACTGCATTTCTTTGCTCTATGATATAACCTTATATGGAGATACTGTTCTTATAACATACATGGTAATCTTGGGAGAGGTCATCACAGCAGCCAGTCTACTGCTCTCTCACTCACAAATATAGCAGCAATGCCACATCTACAGTTTTTTTATTTCCTTAGTTCTGCAACTCCTTCCCCCCGCTTTCCATAATGTTTCCAAATAGGTATTACAGTTAATCAACCTTTCTCTAGTTCAGTGGCATTGGTCAATATTATTTAACTGCTAATATTGTTTTGGCCAATTTCCTTTTCAAGAGAGATGACTCTGAGTGTGTCAACACAGGAAAATGTCACCCACCTACATACCTCTATGCAGGGAAGTTGTGTTTGGTAACACAATTAAGAAATAACAGAAAAGGTGATGTACATGCTGTCGTTGAAGGGTTTTTCCCCCCAATAAATGATACCACATACTTTGGTATTGTACTTTTGGTTTCAGCAAAAGCCTCTGAGAAGGATATAGCCTTGCACAACAACATGGGCATAATTTATTGCACAAGTAATGTATTAGAGTACAAGGAATGCAGTAATTGTTACTATTATATTATACAGGTTTCCCTCTCTTTATGCTGTACATGCATTCCTGGAAAACGGCGCATAACTTGAATTTGCATAAAGGGAACCCACTTTACAATGTAACAAATAAAGATATGTTCCAAGACCTCAACTGTACTGACCCCCAGGCCCATTTTTACCACATTTACAAGACAATTTTGGTACTCAACAACAGCAGACAGTACACACAAACACAGGCTGATGGTGAATGTTTAGTGGCAACTACAGAAATACATGTCGCAGACAACGAGTAAGGAGTACAGATCCACACAGAAAACTATATTTTGGTGTGCATCACTTCCACAATTCACCGCACAAATTAGCTGACTGTGGGGTTCCACCACACCGATCGCATAAGAATGAATTTACCTCTCATATAACAATTTGTTAGTATAAAAAGGGTCATTGCATAAGAGCAAATTCACACCTGCATAAAGCAAGGGAAACCTGTACTCTACTCCTAGAGCATCTTCCATCTGAGGACCATAATGTGTCTTATAGACATGAACAAAATTTAGCTTCAAAATAACTTTGTGAGCTACTTATCATCACTCCTGTTTTAGATATGGGGAAACTAAGTCATGAATGTGAAACCCAGGATCCTATACAGAGTCCATGGCAGTGGTGGGAAGAGAACCCTCATGTCCTGACACAGTCACCTGCTCTAGCCATGATTAATCTTTAAAGAAGTGAAGTGCGCTAATACACCTTCATACTGATGAAAAACCATGTTTCCTTCTCAGGTTCTGGTCAGAACTTCTTGTATCAAAGACAACTAAAGATGAGCTGAGCTTTTTCAGGAATGGTCACCCATGCACTTGTGGGGGGATTTGGTATGCATTCTGCTCCTGAGAGACTTCTCTGAAAGCTTGCTGCAGTCTTCAGTGCCTGCCACTCATTCTAACCTGTGCAGCTTGTTCCAGCTGCACAGATTTCCCAATGAGGCCACGTGAAGACAACACTTTCTGGGTGGCAATTTCTCAAGCAACCATGCCACTTTCTGGGTGGTATTTCTCAAGCAACCACTGACTCTGGAAACTAAAATTATTTCCCCCTTGCAAATAAATCATGTTTAACAGCACAGTGCATTTCTTACCTTGAGGATGATCTGGGGATACTAAAATAAAGAAAAAGAACAGAGAAAGAGATCATACATTAAGGAAACAGTATCTAATTTTAAAAAATGTTGGACTATAAGGGAAGCCTGTGGCTGTCCCTTCTTTGGGTGCAAAAAGCCTAAGATCAAGTTTTTGGTTTTAGCCTTATCTTAATTTGTGACTGTTCCAAAGTTCAGTGGATGAAGGAAATAACCCTAAAGTCATACGCCTAAAAAGCTGTCTAAAATATTTAGGGTTTCCTATTTTATTGGCATCTTCTACAGTCTCTATATCTGGTGTATAGAGGTAGGTGAGGTAACTCCCATAGCTGTATTTTATACGGAGATGCTAAGGAAGTTTCCAAATCTCTTCCTCTACACAGAGGTTGCACACTAACTGCATGATATGAATCTAGGGAGTGTAGGTGTACTACAGGGACATCACGTGATCTACCACAAGGCCTTGTTCCTATTAAAAGGTAAAAAAAGTAGCTTGTTGAAGTGGATAGGTTTGTTGAAAATTTTTGATTCGCAGTCATACTCACCATCTCCTGAGCAGGTCTGAAATTGCTATCGAGAGCGACAACACGGAACATTACTGAAAAGAAAGAGGGGAAGAATGAAAAATGAGCAACTTTCCCAGTGGTGTGTCATTTGCTTATATGTACGTTCAGACACTACATACTTTCAGGCACATTGTAAGTCATAGGGCTGAAAGGGACCTAATGAGGCAGGACTGAGTATTCTTAGGCCATCCCCAACTGCTGCTTGTCTAGCCTGCTCTTAAAAACCTCAAGTGAAGCAGATTACCTAGGTAGCACGTTCCAGTGCTTCACCACACCAATAGAAAGTTTTTCCTAATATTCAACCTAAATCTACTTTGCAGGTTAAAGCTGATTTCTTCTTGCTCTTCCACATAGCCCAAAAGACAACTGAACACCACGCTCCTTATAATAATTTTTGATGTACTTAAAGATCATGCATCCACTTAGTCTTCTTTTCTCCAGACTAAACAAATCTACTTCTTTCCATCTGTCTTGATAGGCCCTAGTTCGATCATTTGTGTTCCTCTCCTCTGGACTCTTTTCAATTAGTTTACATCTTTCTTGGAGTGCAGAAACAATACTGCAGCTGGGGTCTCACCAACACCTGGAAAGAGCTGCATAATGGCCTCTGAGGTCATTACTGACAGCATTGTCTATGGCAATTCTGAAGTGTTAAGAAGTAGCCATTTTAGTTGAAGAGCTAAGAAGCATCTGAAAAGTATTCTAACCAGTGAAACCTGTTTAATTGAAATATTTATTACACAGGGCAGCTGGGGTCATAATCACCTACCAATTAGACCCAAGGTCATATTTATTCCTCAACATTTCAGGGCATTATGCCAGCAATAGTTTTGAATCGCAACTTATTTTGGGAATTTTTACAGGTGACTGAGTCCACTGGGACAATGGAAAAATGAATCAAAAGAAAATGAACTTCAGTTTGGAAGAAAAAAGCAGAACAGTCTCTTCCCCACCTAAATCAATAGTGGACTAGTGGAACCTGTATCTCAGCCCAATGAGACATGATTAATTTTGCTTACCCTTTGTTTTATTGTCATATGAATCAGGAACAAAACCCCCTTTATTAAAGTCACCAATTGCCACACTACAGTCATGAACATCTACATGGTATTTCAAACATGTCTGCATGGGATTTTCCCAGACTTCGCAAATGAATGATGCCAGCCTTAAGAAACATAAGGCAATTCTGCTGGGTTCTAGGCACTCCTTAGCTTGAGGTAATTCAAATCCACAACTCCCACTAGCAGGAGAGTGCCCTACTCAGCAGGCATGTCTACACTTTAGCAAGTACTAAATGACTATGCAATAACTGCCATTACTGCACAGTCCCAGTGGCTCACGGGTCGTTTTTGACCCTGCTGCGCACTAGCAATGAGTTACTGTTCTTCCTATTGAATACACAAAAGCTATATTTTACATTGCAGTTCTATGAGTTATTCCTCCCACTGTCTCCAAATGATACCTGCCAGGCACTACTCAACATCACCCCAGGATGAATGATGGTTGTCTTCTCCCAAGTCCTTTGCCTTCCTAACAGTGAGAAGCCTTTCCCATTCCAAGCACTCTCTGATGTCCATTTTCCCAGTTAAATAAGTGGCTCATGTGCCTCCTTCACCTGTTTGTTCTGGTTTGTAGATGGGCTTGTCTGTCTGGATGAAGACAATGTTGTCTATGTTCTGAATCGCCACTGACCTCCTCTTAGATAGGTTAATTGTTGCACCCTTGGCAGAGAAAGTGATGAAAGCCAAAGGGTCAGAGCCGGCAGGAGGAACCTGAAAGGAAACAAATATTGAAGTGAGAAGGTGATAAGTAAGATCTCTTAAGGTCTATCTATACTAGGAAATCCCCAGAAGGTAGAGACGACCATAGCAGGGTGCAGGGCCCAGGGCAAACCAGCCTGTGCAGGGCCTGAACGTGGTGGTGGCAGTGGCAGCAGGGGTGGTGGCAAGTGGCTGGACGCAAAGCTGGCCTGGCTCTGTGGGGCCCCCCAAAGCACGGTGTCCAGGGCAGTCGTCCAGATTCTCCCCCCACCCCGAGGGACGTCCTGTCAGCAAGACTAACAACCTCCAAGTGTGTCACACAATGGTTCTGCAGGATCAGGGGAGGTTGCATATCTTCCAAGACACGTTTCTCTAGGAGCCCATGCTATTGGAGATTGCTGCTGTCATCAAGGGGTTGTAAATGACATGCACAACCGAATGCATGCATCATGCAGTAAGCATGGAAGATTTTAGTTTCGCAGGTCTACTGAGAATGACCCTGCTGATGGGTGGGGTTGCCAGGCTATATAATCAGATTCTGAAGTGACTCTTCTGCTGGTTTAAAGACCTCATAACTAGGTTCTTTTGTGGCCTTTCCCACAGCCCTGCACTATAAGGGTGAAAAGGCACAAGGGTGTTCTAAATAACTGGTCCGCCATGCAGCTACATCAGGGTTGTCAACCGGGGGTATACATACCCCTAGGGGTACTTGGAAAGGTCGTATGGGGTACGGTGCTGCCACCCACTTCCCTGTGCTGCCACCAGCACCCACCAACCCATGCTGCTGCCACACATTGCTCTCCCACAGCCAGTTGCACGTGTGGCTCTGCAAGCTGCTGATGGGCAACACACAAGTGGTCAGGCATGAGGCCCATCAGGAGCCCATGAAGCCGCACGTGTGACCAGTCGTGGGAAAGCAGGGTGCTGTGGTGGCACGGGGCGGTGGGTGGTGGTGGGTGGCAGTGGTGCAGGGCGGTGAGTGGTGTCGGCGGTGGTGGCCGCCACGTGTGAACCTTCCTCCTGCATGTCTGGCTGCTGCCACCAGAAGGTGTATACTTGCTAAAAAAGGTTGAAAACCCCTGGGTTAGATCTACACATGAGGATGACATCCAAGTGCCTTTTCCAGTCTCAAGGCCTGACCAATGTTTGACTCTTTCACTTTTCTTCCAGCCTGTTTCCCAGGCACAATTTCTTCTCTCCCTGTTTAGTTTCATTCCTTTTTTTTGTATCTCATCCCCATCTCTACTTGAGCTTCTTGCTCCTCCTGCTCTTGCTTTCAAGAACATTGCTTACAAGGATGCTTCCACCTTACCTTCTCCATAGTAGAACTAAAATATTAAATACCGTGAACGTGGTGCATTTGAAGAAGTCATTCTTTGTCACAGACTCCTTAAGCAGAGTAGTCTGGAGTTCATTGTATTTCAAGATAATGCTCAGGGTCACAGGCTCGGTCAGGTTATAGAACTGTAAGCAGGCGCTCTGTGGATTTCCACTCTGAACCACGGCAGGGACCAGCAGGACATATTGGCTACAGGGAGGCAAAACCAGGCAGCTAGTTCAGTCAAATAAGGCTGAATGACAGAAGGGAACACATGATAACAATCCACATGCAGGGGGGTTCAGTCGCTACTAAGCAATCCTTATTTTTGTGAAATCACTACTGAGAAATCCTTACTTCTATAAAATCCATCCACAGCCTTGTGAAACCAAAAAAGACTCCTTTTTACTTAAGGGAACTTTGGGTAGGGTCCTGAGCGAGCAGAGGACGGAGGTTTGTCCCGCAAACTACTCCGTTGCTAGACCATTCCCTGAGCTGAGAGCAGCCAGGCTAAGGGATGGAGTTCTTCTTTCTGAAAGTTAATGTGTTTCTCTTCAGAATACCCCAGTGAGTTACGGCGCTGTTATTTCCACCCTTGTAAAGGTGGAAACTTGGCACACAGAGGCCACCACAGGCAGTTAGGTGACCGAACAATGAGCACTGCAGTGCCCCTAAAATGGAGCTCACAGCCTTGAACCAGGCCCTGAGTTTCCCTGTACAATACAGGGGGAGAGTTAGGAGTCCTAAAAAGAAATTCACAATATACTTTGTATGGATACTGTGAGCAGTGGGTGTGCCTGAAATCCCAACCCTTTCTGGCATGCAAGCATCTTACTAAGCACCACTAGGAGGCATCTTCCATCATGGGGGAATGATGGCTTGGAAGCACTTTTCATCTACAACATGGCTGGAGAACAAGGAGCTTCCCTATTCTAATATAATAAAAGCCATAGTCTGTCTGTCTGTTTGTCCGTAATGCTCTGGGCCAACTGCGCATGCACAGCCGAGAGGGCGGGTGCCGATTGGCTGGGCAGCCCGAGCTGTGCAGTCCAAGTTTCAGCCGCTGCTGAGGAAGTTTGGTGGTGGCAAGGAACATGCCTCAGCCACCTGAGCAGCGGGGCTGCCCCCCAGAACAGCTAGCAGGGAGGGGGAGGAAGGGAGGGGAGGCAGGCGGACGTGGAGCGGTGGGGAGGAAGGTGGAGTGGGGTCAGACATGGGGGCCACGGGGCCCATAGGCAGAGGGAGGAAAAAAATTGAGGGGGCTGAGTGTGCGTGGGCCCCCCACAAGGTGGGAAAGTCTGCAGGGGAGGGGAGGAGTTTGGCTGCAAGCAGGCAGGGTTTGGGAGTGAGTGAAGCAGAGCAGGGATTGAGGCCCACCGTGCCTGTGCAACCGCCCCTTCTCCCACACCTGGGGCCGTTGCCTGGTGCTGGCAGCCCCCACAAAACCGCCACCTCCAGCCTCACACCAGCCCCAGCTGCCTCCCCGTACTGCCTGGGATGGGGGCTTGGAGCTGGGGGCCTGAGCAGGGCTCGCTTCGGCTGTACCACAGGGCCAGAGCCCCCAGGACTTCTGCGCCTGCCCTGGGTTATCCCTGGGAAACCTCACGGCTCCTTCAGATGTAGGACACCAGGGAGCCAAGGTAGCAGGGAGGCATGGGGCAAGGGTGGCTGCAGCTGCAGATGGGCTCTGCCTGCTCCCTGCCTGCATGCCCCACTCCTGCCTTTGACAATGGCAAGGCACCATGTGCATCCCTGCTGGGCAGACCAGGCAGCAAGGCACATGGCACCACGCTGCTGTCAAAGCAGCAGCAGCAAGGCATGCCAGCAGGGAGCAGTCAGAGCCTGGCCCACCACTGCAGCTGCCCTTGCCCTGTGCACAGATGAGGGGCAATGTGCCCCCCCACTTGGCTCCCAGGTGCCTCTGGAGTAGCCGCTGGGCTGCACTGGGTTCCTTCTGGGGATGACCTGGGGTGGACACGTGGGTCCCGGGGGTTCTGGCCCAGCGGGGTAGCTGAGGCTGACCCTGCTCTGGCCCCTGGCTCCAGGCCCAGCCGGGCAGTGCGAAGAAGCAGATTGGGTCAGTGCAGGGCTGGTGGGGGGTGGTTTCACAGGGGCTGCTGGCGGCGGGCAACAACCTTGGGCGTGGGGGAAGGGGTGGCCGCATAGGCCCAGCAGGCCCTGGCCCCAATCCTGGGCCTGGCTCTGCTCCTGTCCCAGCCCCTCTCCCCCAATAGACTTTCCCGCTGCGGGGTGGAGGGAACGCGCATGTGCACACACTCAGCACCCCCCCCAATTCTTTTTCTCCCTCTATGTGTGCGTGCATGTGTGTGTGTGTGCATGCATGTGTGTGTCTGTTCATGGCAGGAGGGAGAGTGCTTGTGTCTGTTTGTCCATTTGCAGAGAGTGTGAATAGTGTGCTCACCTGTCTGAGTGTGTCCGTCTGTGTGTCTGTCAGTGCATGCATATGCGTGCATCTGTGTGCATGCATCAGTGTGTGTGCACGTGTCTGTGTTCATGGCAGGGAGAGTATGTTTGTGTCTGTGTGTCCATGTGCAGAGTGAGTGAGAGTGTGCACCTGTTGTGTGTGTTCATGCATGTCTGTGTGTCCATGCACGTGTCTGTTTATGGCAGGAGGAAGAGTGTGTTTGTGTCTGTGTGTCCATGTGCAGAGTGAGTGAATACAGTGCATGCTCATCTGTGTGTGTGCATGCGTGCGTGCGTGTGTGTGTGTGTGTGTGCACGTGCATGAGTTTGTGTGCATGTGTCTGTGTTCATGGCGGGGAGTGTGTTTGTGTCTGTGTGTCCATGTGCAGTGAGTGTGAACCCATCTGCATGTATGCATGCATGCGTTTGTGTGTGGGTGCATGCGTTTGTGTGTGGGTGCATGCGTGTGTGCATGTGAGTATCTGTTCATGGCAGGAGGGAGAGTGTGTTTGTGTCTGTCTCTCCAGGTGCAAAGAGTGCACTATGCCACTGCCTCCTCCTCCAATTTTGCAGGGCTAATTTGGGGGAGACAGGTGTAAAAGCGATAGTTGGTCTGCTTCCTGCTGCTTGTTCCTCCTGCTCTCCCAGCCCAAGCTGGTTATTTCAAAACAATAAAAGACAGTACTGAAGAAAAGAGGGAGTTACATCATGAAATGAATCATTGCTTCTCAGTGTTGTAATCCTGGTCTCACCACTCCCACATCAGTTCTTATTTACTTCATTAACTGAGCTTGGCCAATTTAGCTTGTACAATACTCCAGGAAAGGACTAAGAGGTAAGTTTTCAACAGTGACCAAAGAGTAGATCCACAAAAGGGCCTTTTAGGTGCCTGGGAGTGGAATTCACAAACCTGAGGTAGGTGTCTAATGTTCACCCTGGAGAGTGAACAGGGAGAGTTAGATGACTAGGTACAGGAGTCACAGTGGACAGCAGGTTGAGCGTGGGGATATCGAAGCCACCCTAATAAGTATATGCTGAGAGAGGGGTTCTGGTTCCTATCCTGGCACTGTGCTTCTGTATTTTGTATAAAATACTTCATTCAGAAGCAGTGTCAGGACCAGAGCCTTCCATCACAGCCCACAGCCTGGTGTTTAGACCCAAGTCACAGTAGCTGTGACCAGTGCTTTACTGATGAGGGTGTTAGCTCCTCCAGCCATGATTTTTTGAATGAGCGTGGCCATGGCTGCTGAGCTTTGCATGCAGCTCAGTTCGGTTGGTGTGTTAGGGGTGTTCAGAACATGTTTCTAAACCAAGACCCTTGGTGGACTTGGCAGCAGGGCCATGTAGTTTGTGAACCCTGACTGGACCTAGGAGTGATACAGGTGTCAAAACTCAAGTCGGCCATGATGATGGTGCCGCTGGGCACATGCAGTAGCAGTACTTCAGGCACTTAGAGCTTTACTGGTAAAACTTCTATAGATTCTTAGAGACCTAAGACTGTGTCTAGATGAAATGAGGGGTGTGTGTGCATGACACTTTAAAGCAGGCTAAATGCTTTTGCACCCTTTAATGGTGTTGGTGTTTGCACACCTTGGCAATGTATTGCGTATTAATTCCAGCCGCTGTAGGAAATTCGGCGGTGTAATGCATTTTAAATGACTTGGGGTGCAGCAAACTAAAACTCCTCCTCCAAGGAGTTTTAGTTTGCTGCCCCTACAGCCATGGAGCAAATCACCAGGCTCTGTGCAGCTCAGGGGCTCTGCAGGAAGCCCTGCAGGCAGCCTGGCAGCAGCCCGAGAAGGCAGGCTCCGCCCAAGAAAAGCTGCAAGCCTGATTTTTTTTTCTTCTCCCCTGGAGCCTGCCTGAGCTGCGTGGGGGCCTGGTGCTTCCCTCTGCAGCTGCAGTGCCCCCTGGGACCACCAAAGCCAGGTGTCTGTGGGCAGGTGTCGCCTGGTGTGGGGGGGAGGGTGCGCTGCTGCTGCGGAGGGAAGCACCAGCCCCACTCTGCAGCCGAGGGACCATTCTGCCCACCTGCAGCTCGCCCTCCCTCCCCACCATTGGAGAGGCAGGTAAGTCAGCAGGGTGCGTGCACAACACAGGAGTTTAATTGGCCCTAAATTGAAATGGTGCTTTCAAAAACCCACCGCTTCAGTTTAGGGCCCCTGTTTTATCTACACATGCCCCAAAAAGTTACTTGGAAGTTTTTGCAGATTGCTTACTGAGGTTTAAGGGCCCAAATTTTGCTTAAGCTGAACTTCAGGTGCCCAAGTCTTAAATGTTTTTCAGGTGCCTAAGTGCATATAAGGGTTCCAAGAAACTTGTACTCCAAAGTCACTTAGCTCTCAAGGTATCTAAATTAATTTGGGTTTTATATTTTGGACCACAAAAATCCGTAGGTTCCTGAAGTTAGGCTCCCATACATGAGCATCCTAGCTGGAGCAGCTGGGCATTGAAACCACTGCTAAGTCCCTAGAAGTGCTGCCTACTCACTCAGCTCTACCAATGCATGCTAGCTCTGACCATAAAATACAGCCTGCTAATTTAGGCCTGGGCCAGCTACTCAGGTCTGCTGATGCCACGTCACTCAACTACACCAGCCTCTGTTATTTCACTCCTGGGTCTCTGCTAAGCAGATCAGATTTCTTACCTTTTTTGTGATGAGAGGGAAAATTCACTTTAGACCAACAGTCTGCAACCTTGCCAAGCTGTAGGCCAAAACAACTCAGCTCTGGTCAAATTAGCTCCAGCGGCACATCAATATCGGGGCCCTTGTCCGTGCCAGAGCCAGGGCTGGGCAGTAGAGAGCTGTGCTGGGGTTGGACAACTGTCTATGTTGTGCTGCTGCCACTTCACTCTCCCCTTGCCCCCTCCCCTGACTGCAGCATGGGCACAACTTCAAACCCAGATACAGTTACATGCTGGCTGGAACCTGTGTCTATACCTCAGGTGAGGCAGAAAGGGTGGAGAGAACCAGTGGTGGTGCGGGTGCAGCTCCCAAACACCTGATCCCAGTGTAGGTGCAGGCACAAAGGCTCCTATCACCACAATGCTGTCAGAACCTCACCAGCTGCACAGGCTGGATCCAGTGGCTCTGTGCATCAGATTTGGTCCTTAAACCATATATTGCCAACACTTGCTCTAGATTACACTGAAACATCATCCCAGTATATTTCAATTACGGCTTGAATTGCAACCTGAATTTAAGTCTCAAATTCCCCAGAGCATTATACAGAGAGGTATGGTTGTAAAAAATAAGCAATTATTATATAGTACAAAGAAAGAAGATGCGATCTCTTACGGTTCAGAAAACTCTGCAGCAGTTAAATGAAGGAAAAGGATGCTTAGAAAAATCCTTGACCACATCTCTGTCTTCGAAGGTGGTGACAGAAAGACACAGATGTGACCTCTCCTGAACAGAGAACACACCTTCTGGCTTATAAACTCTCTTCAGCCACCACCCACTTCTTCATTATCTCATTCATATTCTAATGAATAGATGAAGAAATAACATTTGCATAGATTGAACTTCCTAACTTCTGCCTTTTTTTTCCACTCCCACTGAAGTTCAGGGAGGTTCCAGTGTTTCTAATAACCCCATTACAATATTATAAGCCCAGCCACTCCCTGCTTCTTGGGATGTTTCACCAGCGTTTGCATTATTATACAGAGAAGATTCCCTTATGATGTTCCAGCTTGTTAATATGTATCATCGCATCAGCATTTTTAAATTTTGTCAGGGACACTCCTAGACACAGCACAAGACACAACAACTGCCAGATCACTGTTCTGTCTCATGCCTTTCATGTTGGATAGCAAAAATATTGCACAGAAGTTGTAGTCAACTTCAACTAAGAAAGGGAAGAAAACCACAATTTTATTTTCAAGGAAGAAGGACAGAAAAAAATAGGCCAATCTTTATGTGCTCATGTCTTAAAGACTGTCAGGCCTAACACTTTTAATGGAGCTTGTAACCATTGGTATCATTAGCATTCTATCAAGGAAAAAGGCAGCTACACTTAAGGAGGCACGTAGGTATCTTCCTTGTCCAGGTACAGAGCACTGACTCTTTTTTCTAACAATGGGACTAAGCTCTTTAATTCTCCCTATCAAATCACTTTAGCTAGCACTGGTATACCTTTGTAGGATATTGCAAGAATCCCATGTGCTGCTGGAGCTACTAAGTGCTAAGTGTCTATCCTTGCTGAGGCACTGTGCTAGTAGGGCCATGTGTAGACAAAACGAGAGGTGTGTATGCATGACACTTTAAAGCAGGCTAAAAGCTTTTGCACTGCTTTAATGGTGTCGGTGTTTGCACGCCTCGGTGGTGTATTGCACATCAATTCCAGCTGCTGTAGGAAATTCGGTGGCATAATGCACGTTAAATGACTTGGGGTGCAGCAAACTAAAAGTCCTCAGGAGTTTTAGTTGTTGCCCCTACAATCGCAGAGTGAAGCACTGGGGCCCATGCAGCTCTGCAGGAAGCCCTGAAGACAGCTTGGCAGCAGCCCAGGAAGGCAGGCTCTGCCCAAGAAAATCAGCAAGCCTGAATTTTCCACCCCCGAGCCTGCCTGCCTGCCTGCCTGAGTTGCGTGTGGGCCCGGTGCTTCCCTCCACAGCTGTGGTGCCCCCCAGGACCGTCCAAGCCAAGTGCCTGTGGTCAGGTGCCACCTAGGGGGGAGCCACTGCTGCCACAGAGGAAAGCACCAGCCCCTGCTGCAGCCCAGGGACCACTCCACCTGCCGGTAGCTCACCCTCCCCTCCCTGCCACTGGAAAGGCAGGTAAGTGCGGGGTGTGTGCATGACACAGGGGTTTAAAGGGCCCTAAATTGAAGCAGTGGATTTAAAAACCACTGCTTCAATTTAGAGCCCCCTTTTTGTCTACACACACCTTAGGTGTCTATCCTTGCTGATATATTGGCTGGACTTTCTTGGAAAACAAAGACACCAGCAGGGTCAGGCAGCACAACAGATACATGATACACAGTTATGAGGAGCTCATTAGAAAGAAAGCTGATTATTGGATACAAGTCATATAGCTGTGACAGCAGTCAGGTAGTCGTGGCCGAGTGGTTAAGGCAATGGACTAGAAATCCATTGGGGTCTCCCTGCACAGGTTTGAATCCTGCTGACTATGCACTGCTTTCACCACTTGTGAGGTGTGCTCCCTTTTGGGGTCTCTGGCGCACCAGCTGGAGGAGCTCCAGGCTGCAGTCCAGAGACTGCATGCCATCAAGGACTCTGAGCAGGAGACTTCTACTGCCAGGCCCTCCCCCCCGGGAGGTGGAGGGTAGACCCTGGTCACCCTCCAGGATAAGGGAGGACACCAGGACTTCCCCTCCTGTCCAGCCAAGGGGATGGACCAAGGTGGTCAAGGGCCTCAGGACCCTCTGCACCAAGGTCCCCACCCTGCTGGAGCTTTGCAACAGGTATGAACCTCTTGCAGCCCCAGCAGAGCCTGCTAAGCTGCCAGCTCCGGTAGACAGCACAGGCCCAACCATAGCTACAGCCCCTGCTCTCCCCCTCCATCCTGAGAGGGACTGAGGGGGCAATCTGCCGCCCCAACCCCTTAGTTCGGGAAGACTGCTGCTTCCCAGGAGCCTGAATCCGAGACATTACAGAGAAGATCCCTGAACTCCTCTAGCCCACTGACTACTACCCTATGTCCTTATCCATGTGGGCACAAATGACATGGCTTGGAGCGCTCACAGCTGGGTCATGAGGCGCTACAGGGATTTGGGAGCAAGGCTAAAGGATTTAGGGGAGCAGGTGGTGTTTTCTTTGATCCTCCCAGTCTCGGGCTATGGGTGGAGGAGGGAGAGGTAGTGAGCCAAAGACTGCAACGCTGGTGTCATTGGGAAGGCTTCGGCTTCCATGACCACAGCCCGTTCTTTGATGAGAGAGGCAGCAAGCTGCTGGGAAGGGATGGCGTCTACCTTGCTCCGTCGGGGAGGAGGCTCTTTTCAGCGACTGGCTGACCTGCTCCACCGGGCTTTAAACTGAGCGCGCCAGGGGATGTGGAGACTACCGCCACTGCTAGCCTGCTGAGTAACCCTTGCAAAGCCAGCAGGTCAAGGCACTTAAAGGAGTCCACCTCTGCCCCAGCCCTGGAACAACCTGTAGGCAAGGCAAAGGCCCCCAAAGGGACACTTGTCTGCCTGTACACAAATGCCAGGAGCTTAGGGAATAAACAGGAGGAACTTGTCCTCCTGCTTAACACAAATAATTACGATGTCATAGGGATAACGGAGACCTGGAGGGACTCCACCCATGACTAGGCCACAGGTATAGATGGCCTGTACAGGAGAGATTGAGTGGACAAAAGGGGCAGGGTTGTAGCTCTCTATGTCAAGGAAAGCTACGTGTCCCTGCAAGCTGACATTGGTGCCCAGGGTGGACGACTGGAGACTCTCTGGGTTAAAATACGTGGGGAACACGGCACAGGGGACACAATGGTGGGAGTCTATTACAGACCTCCTACCCAGGATCAAGAGCTTGACCAGGAGTTCACCAGGAAATTGGCTAAAGCTGCGCACTCCTGGTGTATGGTTGCCATGGGAGACTACAACTACCCTGACATCTCGTGGGAAGAGTGCTTGGCCAAATCAGAGAGGTTGCAAAGCTTTCTCTCATGCGTGGATGAGCTCTACCTGATGCAAGAAGTCGACAGGCTGACAAGGTAAAGTGCTGCTTGACCTGGTACTGGCTATGGGGGACGACCTAATCAGCGACCTAAAGATTGAAGGGAAACTGGGTGACAGTGATCATGAGCTGATCACCTTCACCATCTGCCGTAAAGCTGGCAAGTCAGTCAGCAATACAGAAGTCCTCAACTTCAGGAAAGCTGACTTTGACAAGCTCAAGAGGCTTGTAGGTGAGGCCCTAAGGGACAATGACCAAAAGGGGAGGGGAGTTCAGGAAGAGTGGTCGCTCCTCAAGGGAGTGATCCTGAATGCACAAGCTAAGTCCATTCTGTCTCAGAGGAAAGGCAGCAAAAGGGCACAGCGGCCCCCTTGGCTTTGCAGGGAACTAGCAGACCTCCTGCATCTAAAAAGAAAGACCTACAAAGGATGGAGGACAGGATCCACCTCCAAGGAGGAATATTCTGAACTAGTCCAGACCTGCAGGGAGCAAACCAGGAAAGCCAAGGCTGTGACTGAACTCAAACTAGCTACAAGTATCAAGGACAATAAAAAGTCCTTTTTTAGATATGTGGGGAGCCAGAGGAAAAGCAAAGGCAACATTGGACCCCTGCTAAACCAGATGGGACAACTGACAACTGATTCCCAGGAAAAAGTCAACTTGCTAAATGGGTACTTTGCATCCGTTTTTCACCAGTCCCAAGGGGCACCCTTGCCCATTACAGGACAGGAATTTCTGGGTGAGGATGATTCATTACCCTCCATCAATGCTTACCTTGTGAAGGAACACCTAGAGAGGCTGGAACACCTTCAAGTCAGCCGGCCCTGACAGCTTACACCCCAGGGTACTCAAGGAGCTGGCAAGCATCATAGCTCAGCCCCTGGCATGGATCTTTGAGAACTCCTGGTGCTCTGGTAAAGTGCCTGAGGACTGGAAGAAGGTCAATGTGGTGCCTATCTTGAAGAAGGGGAGGAAAGTGGATCTGGCAAACTACAGGCCCATCAGCCTGACCTCTATCCCGGGGAAGGTCTTAGAAAAGATTATCAAAGAGGCCATTCTTAACAGACTGGCCGACGGCAGCATCCTGAGGGATAGCCAGCACGGGTTTTTGTGGGTAGGTCTTGCTTGACCCATCTTATGCTTTTACAACCAGGTGACCTATCACCTGGACAAGGGAGAGGTGATTGATGTTGTATAGCTTGACTTTAAAAAAGGCTTCGATCTGATATCCCATGATCACCTCTTGGCAAAACTAGCTAACTGTGGCTTTGGCTTCACCATGATCCGCTGGCTGGGGAACTGGCTCTGCAGTTGGACTTAGAGGGTAGTGGTTGACGGAAGTCAATTGTTGTGGTGCACTGTGACCAATGGGGACCCTCAAGGCTCTGTCCTTGGGCCAACACTATTCAACAACTTCATTAATGATGTGGACATTGGTATCAGAAGCAGACTGGCCAAGTCTGCCAACGACACCAAACGCTGGGGTAAAGCGTCCACACCTGAGGACAGAAGGGCGATCCAGGCCGACCTTGACAGGCTCAGGAAATGGGCAGATGAGAACCTGATGGTGTTTAACACTGAAAAATGCAAGGGTCTCCACCTTGGGAAGAAAAACCCGCAGCATGCTTATAGGCTTGGCAGTGCTACATTGGCTAGCACTATGGACGAAAAGGACTTGGTGGTCATGATTGACCACAAGATGAACATGAGCCTTTAATTTGATGCTTCAGCTAGTAAAGCAAGCAAAATGCTGGTTTGCATCTAT